ATGGCTTCAAGATTGGGGGTGAGGGGGTTAAGAACTACGGCTTGGAGTGTACCTGGACCCCAGAAGTATGTAGAATAATGGCCTTTAAGGCTCTAATTTTGGGTTTAGGGCTCTTATTTTACATGCCTTTGGGGTTTAGGTAGGGCCTAAGCAAGGTTGGGGGATGGAAGGTTTTAAGTTTTTGGGGGTCGAGGTGAAGGGAGGGAATCCGTTGGTTCAGTGAGGCCATCCATTGCTGAGAGAGGTTCCTAGAGGGCATTGAGAAGCTTTTTGGGGATTATTGGGTGGTTTCAGGAGTGTAGGGCCAGTGGAAATCAAAGCTTCAGTGATTATGCAACGAGACAACCAGTTTCTGATGCGGCCACTACCCGGAACAAGTGCAAGCCTTTCCCACCACCACCCTCCCCCCTTGACAATGCATACCACCATAACAACCTAAGAATGTGTGGAGACACGCTTCATACAGGGGGGTGTGGGCATTTGATATCTGGGGAAGGAGCTACTGATTCATTCGCACTGCCCGACCCTATGACAATCTTCAGATGTTATTCTGCCTCCGCCCTTAACCCCTATACAAGCTTAGCTCCCAATTCATTATCCATTTTCTTTTTAATTTGATTCTCCAGTATTGGTTGGGTACTGCCCCCACCCAGTAGCATTCTATATTAGGGGTCCTTTTAAGGGCTATGTATAACCATATTATACTTATTATCCAACTGTTACTGAGAGGGGGCAGTACCCAAATTATTGGCAATTAAATCCTCTGTTCATAGAATATGAGAGTCCGGCCTCGCCTCACCTCGTGTTCCGTCCCTACCCTTTGATGTTTCTACGCGGTGCTGCAGAACAAGACCAAAATCCTACATGCTTTTGTAGTACGATTGGCCTCCACACCCTGAGAGTCTGTTCGCGGCATCTGGTACGACTTAAGTACTAGGGACTTTGCGTGTTGCGCCTGATGCTCATCGAGTTGCGCAATGTTCTAATTCTAATTGGATCAGGCAACTAACACTATTATTGTCCCAGATTCCTTTTATGATTATGGTATGTTACCGATTCAAACCTACACATTCTTTTATACAACCACAGCAAAAGCCCAGCTTCCACTTCACTTTCCATGTTCTTTCCCATTTGATTCTCCATTGCTGCTACTTTGGCACCTAACGGAATTGTTGGCAATTCTTCAGGCTTGTACATTAGGAGGACCCCCCACCTTGTAAGAGTGGTATAATAAGAGTACAAGAGGACCCTACTATGATCCCTACGGTTGATGGAGGAAATCTTGCACCACCTTAGGTCCCTAAAGTCCTAGGAATTACAATACTTCAGGGCCCTTAGGTGGTCCTTATAGTCACTATTACTCGGTGGGGGGTCCACCTAACTTCTACATTACATGTTGTTCAAACCCTAAACCCTAAACCCTAAACCCTAATCCAAGTCAGTCTGATCCAAGGCTAGGGTCATGTTTACGACTAGGTAGGTTTTAGGTCCAGTACTGCCCCCACCCAGTAACAGTCGCGGTTCAGGGTTTAGGGTGTAGGGGTCCTATTAAGGGCTATATATATCCATATTATCAGTACTATCCAACTGTTACTGAGTGGGGGCAGTACCCAAGGTTTAGGACCAGGTAGGGGAACCTCAAGCTGCACTCAGGTAATATCCCACAGTCTCTGGTAATGCCGTTTAAACGCAAATCAGGCAAATCAGGCAAATCGCAAATTGAACACCGTCGAACCTTGAAACCTGACGCTAAGAACCCACCCTCTCCAGAAGAAAGCATGCAGTCTTTCCAATGCATGTGTCTGTCTACCCTAACCACCAGATTTGAAATGTGAAGCTGAGCACTTGCCAATTGTTTCTAAACAATCCTTCTGTAAATGTATGCGGCTTGTGCAACTTGTATATGTTTCCCCTAACCTTAAATCGCATGTAGACTCCTGAATAATAAGCAGCATACTTTTCCTGAGCCATGCTCATGTAGTAGTAGGAATGTCATTACCCACAGCCCTATTCTAGGAAAAGTTCCTATACAAGACCATCCTAAACCTTGAATCCTTCACACACAGTTCTCCGGATGAAGCCCTGCGCCTAGGATCCTCACTTCGACTGCTTTGGTCTTCCTCATGACGGCAGGCCTTACAGGGTGTTAGAAGTGTCTATTGGCTTGTAGGTGTTTATCTAGTTTTTTCAGGATTCATTGGGTCATTCCCTCCCAGTAACTGTCCTTAAAGGGGCCAGGGGCCTTATTAAGGGGGTTCTTATCACTCCTATAACCCATTGTGGTAACAGTTACTGTAAGGGGGAATGACCCAAAGGATTCAGGTTGTAGGAGTTGCAGTAGGCTACTAGGATTTCAGGGTTTAAGGGTTTTTTGAGTTCAGGGCGCCGCCTCCGCCACTGACATCATATATGCTCCAGACGCATTCAACATTAGGGAGTGAGGGAGATGCTGTAGTCACTGTAGTCTGTGGAATTAATGGACAGCACCCTAAGTATGGGGTTTGTTACAGTAGTCATCTTCCGAATCAGCACGTGCCGGCGTGGCGTTTTGAGGCCCTACTGCCGGGGTAAGGGTTTGGGGCACCCTAAACCCTAAACCTGAATGACTTCAACCACTCCATGGCTCCCGCATCTTTCAGCTAGTCTCTGATACCTGGCTAGCATGAAGTCCCAAATACAAAACGCCCAAACCGGGTTTAGGGTTTAGGGCCCAAGCCCAAAGCATTGAATCCAATCGGAAATCCCTAAAGCTCTGACCCTCGAGGGGCGGCGGGAAGGGTGTGAGCCTGCAGCCGGTTTTCTCCCTAAAAGACTTGGGGTATGGCAGAGAAAAGCCGAAGCTAACATCATCACGTAGGGTTTAGGACTTGTAAAGGGTTTAGGTTTGGGGTTTAGGGACTCCAGGCAGGGAAAGGGGGAAATAAGTTTCAGGAATCGTTACCAGTGTGCATATTGTGACCAATGTGAGGCCCCATGCCTGGATTCCCTTTTAAGGGTTTAGGGCCGAGGGGGTTTTAGGGTTAAGCACCAGGTAGTCGATTTTTTCTTGTGAGATCGTTCTCTCCTGTCATTCCTGAAGACCTGAGTTTGCAGCTCGCGTGCTGCGGCCCCAACATATATCTAATGTGAATATGCATTCAAGTTTCTACATACTTGTACTTATGGGTTGAGGCGTCAGAACCGCCCCTTCCCTTACCCCGCCGGCTGACACCAAAGAGAGTCACGCACTGAAGGTCTGGGATTTTTCTATGGCGGCCTGGTGAGGGACACGAACTTTGCCTGACCTATGGTAAGGCTTGTTCACTCAAGGTTTGGGATCTTGTGTCTCTGGGAATGTGGATCCATGTTCATGTGTCGCAAGGCCAGCCATCTTTCAGTTTCCGAGGCAGATATCGCGTGTCCCTGCGCGCGCACGCAGCCGTTGGAGAACTAAGGAACATCATCAACACGATGATGTGGCTGGGCTGCTAAACCCTACATAGTAATTATCTCTATACAACCCCTATATAACACCCCTTAAGAACCCCCTTTAAGAACCCTACAGTACTCCCCCTAGATAACCCTAAACCCATAATACTCCTCGTGAGAGTTTTTTTGTATGAAGCCCCTATCTGTGTGACGTGTTGGAGGCCTAGCTCTGCAGGTTGTTTTTGGTTCCACTTGTTTCGGAAACTGTGTTGGATGAGCCATAGTATATTGGCGTATATATTGGGGTTATAGTATCAGGGTTATATAGGGATTTATGGAAAATAACATAGAAACTCCAACAAGAGATTTTGATAATGGTTCCATGTGATCATTGGAGGCATTTTGGGCGTCAATTTATGAGTACGCAGATTGCACTTGAGCTGCCCAAGCAGGAAGACGGATTTCGAGAGACTTACCCCGAAAGCATCATAGAAATGATCCTACAACCCTAAACACTCAAGCCATAATTAGTTTCTAATGATACGGAGCTCAAATGTGTAGCACTTTCGTGCGAGTTGCTTGGAGAAGTTGTAGTAATGGCATGCCCTTGAAGAGAGTCCTGTAATGACAATGAGTAGTACCTATTATCAATGGCAGTATTATTGCCGTTATCAAAGAACCCAATGTTATCTTCATGTTGTGCATCGTACTTCTAGGATGAATTTAGCCTAATGTGGTTCAACCACCAACAGCCACGCCTCAAATGGGGTTTAGGATTTAGGATTTAGGGTTTAGGCTGGAACGTCAAAAGGAACTGGGATTATGAATGGTTCATATCCGGGTTAATTGACCTTTCAGCTAGAAGGATCGATACCCAGTACGATGCCTTTTTGAGCAGAAGGCTGTACTGTGAACCTTAGAGAGCTGCTAGAGCTGGAACCTTGTGCAATGCTCTTGTGCCTCCTCCACCCTCCTGTGGACGCTTACCCTCAACCCTTACTCTAAACTACCTTTAGACTTATAGCCTCCTGGCCTCAGACTGAATAATTATTCTGAACCGGAGTTCATTTTCGGGGTACTGAACGCCTAAACATATGAGCTATAGTCTAAACTCCTCAAAAGGGGATTATGCAGGGGGTTAGATAAGGGATTTTATAGGGGGTATTACGGACTATAGCTCATATCAAGTTCTGTATACGCCCTGGGAACTAAAGCCCAGTTCCAGAGGTTCTCGCAGGCTGTACTCCAACGCTGCACGAGCAACTGTTGCTACTAAAAATCCTGCATGACCTTAGTATACTATAGTACCACTATTCCCAAGGTTTAGGGTACTTAGGGTCATGATGACCCTAAGTACCCAAAACCTTGGGAATAATGGTACTATAGTACCAGGGTCATGCAGGATTTGTAGCATGCACCGAATGTGGACGGCGAAGCCCGCAACTCTTGGGACCCACGTAGAATCAATGCAGACGACTTGCCGTTCCAGAAGATCCTTGCATCAAAGCCCCAAACAACCCTAAACCAGAAAACGCCCTAAACCTTTAAATCCCACCAGAAAAACCAGAAAAACCTTGAGATCCCACCCTAAGGATGAGTGTGGTGTCCATGGGCATCGTCACCCTTACCTGGTGCGTTCTGGGCTTCTCCTGGGCGTTCGGGAACGGGGGGCCCATCATCGGCAACTTTGACCCTGGTCTGAGCCAGCAGAAGCCAGTTTGAGGTTTAAGCTATGTTTCGGGGTCCTGAATGGTCTGGTGTGCGCCTCAGGGTGTATACAAGTCCTGGGTGCACAGAGCCTAAACCCTCAATCCTAACCCCCTAAACCCAGCACTGTGGCCCGCCTTTTTTATTTCTTGAGTTGAGAGAAGCAAGGACTACGCTCTCTTCATGAACCTGGACCTGAAGATGTGGGACGCTGGGATGAAAATCTCTTCGCTGGGTCATCTGCAGCTATTACTACTTGAACCCTACACCCTAAACCCCTATTGGGCCTTATTTATTCCGTTTAATCTGGGGATTCCATTCTGAGGGTGTCTCCTGGGGACCCTATAACAGGAGTTGAAAGTATAGGGTAATGCATTATCCTAGTAATTTCAGTTTGCAGATAGGGCTTACCTATTTGGGGGTGAGGAAAGTAAAAAAAGCCAACAGGGCTTTATCAAGTTGACGGAGGAAGTCCTGCAATAGTTAAACTAAACCCTGAGCCCTAAACCCTAAACCCTGAACCCTAAACCCTAACTGGGTGGGGGCCCACCTTAGGATACCTCTTTGCTTCTACACGTCTCACGAGCCCTCCAGGAGCCTAATGTAGAAGCCTGAACAAGGACCAGTGCTATTCTTGTAAACCCCTTGTATGGCTATAGTATATGGGTGGTTGTCGAAATTATGGTCCCTTTTTGGATCTCTATCATAATACGACACCTCATATTTAGGGTACCCAAAAAGGGACCAACATTTTGACAACCACCCATATATTACCTCAGAGCCCCACTCTAAACAAACAGGCCGCGACAATGAATTGCAAACGTCAAGTTGGAGTGAGCGAGCGTGCTGTTGAGAATTGAGATTACCGCAGGCATTACTTTCCAGTTCAAGTGAGTCGTGCAGAAGCCTGAACAACTGGTAAAAGGATTCCCTGATAACCCTTGTATGACTATAGCACAGTACTCCCCAAAACCCTTTTGTAAGTATTAGGCCTTACATTAGTGTTTGATTCGCGACATTGCTGAGCTCAAGGTACCACCGGTCGACAGGTTGTCTTTCGTTCCAATTACAAAGCCCCGTATAAATTTGTGGTTAACCTTTCAAAGCCCATAAGCTCTAAAGACCTAAGCCCTCAATTTCAAACCCTGACCTCGAAATCCCAAAGCCCTTAACTCTAGACCCTGAAGAACTAAAACCTAAACCCTCAGAATCCATGACACCCAACGCATGCAACCCGAAACCCTACACCATAAACTGGCGATAGCGCCGCTGACCATTTACATGGGCGCTCGAGCCTTGGGGACCGGCCTTCGGACTGGCAACAGAACGAACCTACGGGCCTGGGAGGGTCCCTGTGAGACCCCCCCACAACGCTGTTCTCCTATTACAGTGCAGCTCTAAAATTAACGTCCCAAACCCAGCACCATCAAGCCCCCTCCACTTTTTTTTTGAGGGTTCTTTAGGGGCCCCCTGCCCACCCCCTGGAAGGTCCAGGCCCCTGGCATCAGTGGGATTCCATTATGGAATTCCAGGTCCTTCCAGGGGCCTGCCAGGGCTAAAGTGAGGCTAGTTTTTTTCAAGGAATTCACAAAGCTTTTACCGCATACCTTCCTTTCGGATCTGCGGTTGGCCTCCTGACATCATCACTTATCATCATGATGCTTCTCGGGAGTTTTTAGAGCATTTGGCAAGATCCACATGCGAAGGCCGGCCAAGGCCTCCGCTATCCTTATACGTTGCCCGAGTCCCTTTTGTTCGCTTGAAACTTAGAAGCTTGAACTCCAAGCCCTTGCACACTGACCGAAAATGCTGGCTGCGGCGCCGTGACAAGGAGTGAACACCAGAACTGGGGAGAAAGGAAATCAGAAGGCCCCCTTTGCTCGGGAAGTTTGGGGGGTAGGAACCCTAAACCCTAATTGAGAATACTTAGGGTGGTTGGGGTGGGACCTCTGGCTACGCGAGGGCGCGAAGAGTGGGTGCGCTCTTCCTATAAAAACGCACCCGCCGCGCACTCACACTGATACACACCCTAAATCCTCAACTGAGGAATCCTAAAACTAAACCCTAAAACCCTAAACCCTAAACCCCTAAACCCCTAAAACCCTAAACCCAAAAGCCTTAAACCCCTAAACCCTAAACTAAGGATGAGTCTGGCCTCCCTGCCTTGGCTTTTGCCTGCTTCCAGATGTGCCTTGGCTCTACTTGGGAGGGTTTTTTTGAGTCACCTAAACTCCTTGAAAGGGGGTTTATATAGGGGATTATAGGTTATATAGGGGATGATATAGGTCTCAGTATTTAGGGTTTTGCTGGGTGGGTTTAGGGTACGGATTAGATGAGGATCATGTAGGGCTTTTACAGGGATTACACAGGAATTAACGGGGTTGTCTATGGGTGTATTGGAGAAGCAAGTGAAAACAGCATGACAAATACTGGGTTGCTGTAGAGGATCATCAGTACAAGTGCTAGTTTAGGGTTTAGGGGTATAGGGGTTGAGGGTGCAGGGTTCAGGGGTTTGCGAACTTAGTTTTTAAACCTATCGTTTCGGGTTTTACTCGTGGATACTTGGAGCTTCATGGGCAGTCGTAAGTATTGTAAGGGTTGAGTGCATCCGTATGGCTTAGGGTATAGCGAGTCTGGGGCCTTGGTGCGGGCTGTGGTGGTGGCTGTATGTGAGTTGTGTTTTGTTATTTAAGGTTTAGGGTTTAGGGTTTAGGGTTTAGGGTTTAGGGAGGGTGCCCGCCAAAGAACTGAGAAATCTCATCCAAATTTACCTTTCATGATCGGCGAGGTACCGACAACTGTCTTATGCAGGCGATGCAGCTGCTTGCTTAGACCGGGAAAAGCCTTAACGAGGTTCTACGACTTTTCCAAGTAAGTAGTTCTCTACCCAACAGCCGCTGCAATATCAGCCCCTACCATCAGGACCCTTGTCATACAACCTCCAACGAGAGAACCAAACTTTACAGACGCTCGCAGACCCAAGGCAGACAGATCACCGTCAGGAACGTTAGGAAATACCCTTCCTCAATCTACGTAACATGGAAGTTCAACATGGCCTTGCTAAGACCGCTGTCCTTTCAAATGCGTCCTGAATGGGTTTCTATCTTAGTGCTGGGGAGAGCAAACTGTTAAAACCCCGACGTTAGACGCTAACGGCCCTAACGCTCCCGCAACTCCAAAACCACGTTGTTTGAAGTGTTCCAAGAACCTGCCGATAAAGCCCAGGACTTTCGCCATCATCGCGTCCGCTATCATCTCGGGATCTCTCGTGGAGCGCATGCGCTTCAGCGTGCCTCGGCGAAGGGAACTGCGAACCCGCAAGGTATCCCCGAGCGTTTTTGTTGTCAGAGTTGTCCCTTGAATGCTTCACAGTCGCCACCCATATATCCGCTACTCGTAATCCCTACATATGATTGCGTAGCAGCATCATTACTCCTCATGCATAATCACAGTAGAAGGTACGACGAAGCCCTGTTTTCGCCTTGCATTATCCAGTGGCCTAGGCATACGCGGCCATGCTGGCCCTTTGGTCTCTTCTCATCTACGCGCCTCTTTGCCATTGGGTTTGGGGTGGTGGCTGGATCGGGGAGCTGGGGGCTCTGGACTTCGCAGGAGGCTGGAAGCTTGGGAGGGGGCTTTGGGGCAAGGGATGAGATTCAGGGTTCAAGAGCTTGTGAAGGGGTGGTGGCTTAGGATGTATGATTTAGATCTTGGGTCCTCCAAAAGAGCCGAATTGAACCTAACTTAGGCCTTTTATGCCACCTGTATGAAAGGATAGGACCCTGTTGAGAGATGGTCGGTATCTTCAAATTTGAAGCTTTGTGGGGTTGGGATAAGCGGGTCTGGTCAAGTTTTATGGCTTTCTCACTTGCCCCAAACCAGTTCCTTTTGGGGGTTGTTCTGTTTTTTTTGGGTTTGGCTGAGAGCTGCTACCCAAAACGGAATCACATATGAAACAAAGAGCAGGGCGAATAAAGTTTTGGACGGCGCCGCTTTCGCTGGATCAGGAACCCTGAGCCCGGATTCAGCACGCTTCTCCCATGTGTTCCCATGTGTATGGATGCCCAGACGCAAGTACGACCTACTGTTTGATAGGTGCGCTAGCACAGCCACGATGATGTGAGAGTTCCTCTAAACAAGCCCCGTACAATCTTTGAGGGTAGTATTTATAGGGGGCAGTAGGGCAGTAGGGGGAACCCACAATACAGTCGCCCCTGCGATTCCAACCAGAGCTAAGTCAAACAAGCTAAGTCAAACAAGGAGGAAGTTCTTACCGTGATGAAAACTAGGATACCCTAAACCCTAAACCCCATCTGCCTTTCTTGGAGGCACCGTTGTGCACATCAGCTCCGGCGTGTCCGGCTACGTCGCAGGGTTCATCGTGGGCCCGCGAAGGCACGTTGAGAAGGACCAGCTTCCTCAGAGCTTAGGGTTTAGGGTTTAGGGTTGAGGGTTTTTGGTTAGGCTTGCACGAGGATGTGCATCTTGTACGATCCAATTTTTGAACGCTGCATCTTGACCCTACATCCTACATTCCTACCTATACCTCTGACACCTTGCACGAGCCAGCGCATGCGCTCGCCGTGCACAGGCCGGAAGGCTGAGAAAACTTAGTGGGAACTTCCAACCGTCTGCTTTAGGGGTTCTGAGTTCTTTTGTACAAGTAACCAATAGGAAAAGGGTACCCCTGTTGCAATATTGTCTCTGGGCTACCAAGAAGAGATTGCTATAGGTGTCTATGAACTGGATATCCGACTCACACGCGTTCAGTTGAACGGTTCAAGTGTCTTTCCGACCTTAACCCATACCCTCAGGCCAGATATGGATTTGGAGCCCTAACGTACAGTCTAAACCCTGAACCCTCGGCCCTAGGCCTCAAACCAGAACTGCCAGGCACAAAAGAGCCGACAGGGTTTCTAAAAGAGCCTCAAACCCGAACCCTAAACCTGCCGATCCCGCCTCAACCTGATTTCTAGAAGGACCTGGGCCCAGCAAACGCGCCCTTTGTCGTCCTCGGCGGGAGCCTGCTTTGGTCCCTGGGCAAAGGTCTAGTGGTTGATGACTTTAGGTTTTTGGGACCTTAGGATCTGGTGTTCAGGGTCTAGGTTTCAGGGATAAGTTGTTCTAGGATTTGGGGTCTAGGGTTTTGGATTTAGGGTTAAGGTTTTAGTGTCTTGAGGTTCAGAGCTCGGTACAAGGGGTCCACGTGCCCAAAAAATCACAGGCCACGTTCGGGTAGTTCTCATGATAAGGGCTTTGGAAAATGTGATTTCTGGATCTACGAGGGTGGGGAGACCCCTACTTTGGGAAATATCCGAAGAGTTCGTACTAGTCTGAAAAGTATGCATGTTGGAGACCCTGAGCCTGAAGAACATTCTAGATGGAGATGCGGAACCTTCGGGCAGGCCCCAAGCACCTAAACCGTCAAGAGCCAGGGCCCCAAATCTGAAGAAACACCATAAGATCCTCATCCTCTTCCTGGTTGCAGAACCATTTAAGCCTGGCCAAAATCCCTGACAATACCTTTTCTGGGTAGACGACTATGGGGGGTGATAACTTGCAGCATGGTAATGCAGGCGCGGGCTCCTCACAGACCCACCACACCCAATGCTCAATCTTGGGTACTGCCCCCCCCTCATTAAGAGATGGATAAGAATTACAACATAACTATATAGGGCCTAGAATATGTTTCGTATTATGGACTGTTAAAGGGTGGGGGCAGAACCCAAGCTCAATCCCTCACTTTGATGCGGAGTGGTCGGCAGACAGCCCAGGCTCTGATAGCAATGATCGGGGCCAGATGAGCTATAGTCTAAACTCTTTAAAGGAGGTTACATACGGTTAAGGGGTTTAGGGTCTAAACTCCTTGAAGGCGGGAGGGGGTTATTTGGGGGATTATATCAGGGAGCATTATAGGGGTTATACAGGGTGGATAGTAGGAGTTTAGACTATAGCTCAAATGAATTAAACATGATATCAGGCAGAAGATACAGGTCAGGTCAGGAAATACAGGCAACTAAAGCTTTGCCACAATACTAACTGAAAACCTTCAGAGTTAAGATGCGCTTTTGCACCCAACCCAAACCCCAGCATCTTAGACCCTGAAACTGATGATATGGGTCATAGTCTAAACTCCTTAAAGGGGGTTACATAAAGGGGACTATTATAGGGCTCATTACGGGGGATACTAGGAGTTTAGACCATAACCCCTACAATCCCCTATATAATGCCAGTTTCCATTTCATTTTCCATTTTCTTTGCCATTTGATTCTCCATTATTAAGGGGGATACTAGGAGTTTAGACCATAGCTCATATACGCTACAGTCTAAACTCCTGGTATCCTCCTTCATAACCCCTACAGTAGCCCCCTATATACTACCCTATATAACCCCCTTCAAGGAGTTTAGACCATAGCTCATATACGCTTGAAATCCTCCGAGCACGAAGTCTTAAAACGCTCGAGACACGCAGCGAAGGTTCGGATGGCTTGGCTTCAACGGCGGTTCCGCCCTGGTGGTGAATGACCGAGGGTTTAGAGTTTAGGGTTTAGGGCTTAGGTTTTAGGCTTCATGGTTTAGGGATTAGGGTTTAGGGCTTAGGTTTTAGGCTTCATGGTTTAGAGTTTAGGGTTTAGGGCTTAGGTTTTAGGCTTCAGGGTTTAGGGATTAGGGTTTAGGGTTTGTGGGCCATTCGGGATTTGCGGTTTAGAGCTGGAGGCGTGCAGGTCTCAGGATTTAAGCAATGCTACTAGGTTCCCCAGTAGTACCCTTTTTCCGTTTTTATGTTGGGGTCTCCTTATTAAAGCTGAACATTAGGAAAAAGGGTACCCTTATTATTAGGGGGTTATTGGGGAACCTAGCAGGGGATACATAGGGGTAATTTAGGGATTAGATAGTGCTTAGGAGAGCGGTTATTTTCGCAATGATGGAGAATCAAATGGAAAAGAGGTGGACAATGATATGGACACTGATTGGAGGGTCAGGGGGATTTAGTAAGTAGGTTAATACCCCCTAGAACCCGTATAGTAACCCTAGTTATCCTGATTATTAACTTACTTACTAAGTCTCCATGACCCTCCAAGTGGGGTTACATAGTGGTTCAAATTGAGGTTTCAGAGAGTTCCTATTGTTGCTATTAAGAGTACTTTGTGGCCTGAGTACGTTAAAGCACCATAATTCCCCAGGGTTTCTTCCCAGGGTTTCGGGAATGTAGGGTCATACAGTTGCGTTTGTATCCACTTCAGTAGGTATATAGACTTAGCCTCAAACCCTACACGCTATCTAGGGCCTGCAGGAGGTCTTACTCGTAGACCCTCAGTTGCAGGACGGAATTGCCGCCCGTGCTGTCGCGACCACCCTTGTTTGCGCAGCCTCTTCCATGCGCCTTGGGCTTGTGACAGTTCCCTGGGGCTCCATGCCTTATATAATACCTACATTGGGCCCCCAAAGTCGATAAATAGTACCTACATTGGGCTTGTTGGAGCCCTCGGGGTTTACGGCTTTACAGATCAAGGTCCAGGGGTTTAGGCTAAAGGTTTAGGGATTAGCAATTCAGGTATGGCGTTCAAGGTTCATGGGTTTCGTCTTCCTGGCCGGCAGGCCTTTTCAAGGCAAAGATATGTGAGTTTTCGAAAGCTGGAAATTCCCTCTCGGGAGTCCTTGTAACAAGGAGTATTGTATATCTGGTACAGAAGTGGGAGCCTCCTCCCTTTTTTTGTGGCTTTTCTGAAAGGATCTCCACTCCAAGGCGACAATTCATCCGCATGGCAATCCAGCATTATCTCTGTATGTGAAGAGTCCATGGAAATTCCAGATGAAGGACTGCTTTCCCCAGCATGTGGTCATATGGGGATTTTCATAATTGGGGGTCCCAAGGCAACCCAACGCGTGATAATCCTGATGATAGCGACTTCCGAACGGGGACCCTGTTTTTCCAAATGCCATCTACACCATAAATCCCTATAGAATCCGTAGAAAACGGGGGAACTCCTCATGTAAGTTCTTCGTGAAGAACTCCATACTGTTGATGGATGAAATCGTGCACCACCTAGGGGCCCTAAACTACTGTAATTCCTAAGGCTTTAGAGACTTTAGGTGTGCAAGATTGCCTCCATAAACAGTACCCCTTCTCTGCCCCACTTGGAAGGCTGAGCTGGTTGGCCATCGAGCGGGTGCTGATCGGCAAGGCCAGGGGATACCTTGGAGCATAACCTTACTTGTGCTATAGGGTTTAGGGTTTAGGGTATAGTCTAAACTTTAGATGGTTTTTAAAAGGAATTATAGAGGGTTTATAAGGTCTAAACTCCTCAAATGGTTTCTAGAAGGAATTACAAAGGGTTTAGGTCTAAACTCCTTAACGCGATATACATAAGGGAGTATATAGGGGACTACTATTGGGGTTACTAAGGGGGGATACTAGGAGTTTAGACTCTAGCTTAGTTGGTTCAACCACCAAGAACACAGGCTCAGTTTGTGTCTAGGCTGGGAAGTATGTGTCTGAAGTACGGGCTCAAAATCTAAGCCCGAAGCCTTTCAACTCAATCCTTAAGCTAGAGTCAGTAATTACAAAGTGTTGATGCAGAGTATTGAACAAGAGGGTGTTGTGGGACGGGTGTCCAAGAACTCTGTAATCCCAACACCAAGAGTTATAGGACTGTAGGACTATCATGCAAGCGTTGTCAGGTCCTGGCTTTGTTGTTCTGTATTTCCAAAGAATCCGCAAGGTATGGACCAACACAATTCTCAGTATTTTGGTTTGTTTTTGCACTTTTTTGGGTATGGCGTACCGCCGGTAGACCTCCACATGACATTGGTAGCTTTTTAGGCCCCTGATTCCTCTGATTGTCACCCAGAAGGTTGCATTTGCGAAGGACCCCCGCATAGGGTCCAACTTTGGAACTCCTGAAGCACTAGAACCCTAAAGCCCTAAAACCAACAGCGCGTAAAGCACTTTGCCCTACAACCCAGATCACAACTCCATGCGGCTTGTAGGTTTGGACCCCAAAGCCTCAGATGGGGGTTGATCTACAGGTCTTTTGGGGAGCCATTTAAGGTTCCTGTAGGGAGGTAAGGGAAGCAGAGGGAGGCCAGGAGTTTTGATCAACTACCAGATGTCCTAGAACCTAAACCTAAACCCTAAACTCTTAACCCTAAGCCCTCAACCCTAAACAGCTGTGAATAGCAAGGCCTCCTCCGTTGGAGCTTCTGTGGGCGCCGTGGCCGGATTGGTCGTGATCACCCCGGCCGCAGGCTTCGCGGCTCATGGTTTAGCGTACATGTACTAAACTCCCTAAACGGGGTTATGTAGGGTTTAGGGTTTAGGGAGAGTGATATAGGATTCAGGCTTGAGGGTCTGAAGCCCTTAAAGGGGATTATATAGGGGATAGTATAGGGGAGTATTATAGGGGT